TGGGGGTTTCAATATGTTGTCCAGGCTGGTCTCAGGCTCCTGGGCTCAAATGATCCTCCTGCTTCAGCCTCCTTGGTAGCTGGGGCTATGAGTGCCCAGCCAAGAACACGTTACAAGGAGATTGTGGTCCTTGAGGTCAAAGTATGCCAAGAGCCCAGCCCACGTGGTAGAGAAGTCATGACTGGAGTTCGGCAGGATGGAGGGACCTCAGCAAGGACAGCTGTGCTGACATGGAAAGAAAGATGTCTGATGAATGCGTGTTGAGATGAGACAGCTGAAGAAATGAAGACAGCCAGTACAACCCCTGTGAGAAGCTTGGGGTAATGGAAAGTTGAAAAATGAAGCAGTTGTTGGAAAAGAAGGTTTTTATATGGGGCAGCACAGCACCTTTGTATACATTAAGGAGATTTAAGTGATCCAGAGGATGGAGGGAATGATTTCCAGAGACTGCCTCATGAAATCCCGAAAATGATGGGAGAAAGTGGGATCCAGAGCCCATGCGGAGACACACACAGGGATGCTTCACTCAGAACAGCAGGAGAAAGCAGAGCATTTGTGGATTTTAACAGAGGTGGGCTGATAGATTTAACAGTGGAAAGATGTGGAAGTTCTTGTCCCACTGTTTTTACTCGGAGACAGTGTTATCAGCTGAGCACCAGATGAGAGTCAGGCAGAGTAAATTAGGATATTAGAAAAGACATGAAATTTTGGAAACTAGAAGAAAAGGGAGGGACCAGAGATGTCACCAGAGTGACACAGCATCTGCCTGGCAAGTGTGAGGTCCTGAGTTTGATTCCTAGTACCAAAAAAAAGAAAAAAAAATGAAGAAAAAGACAGGAAATGTATTAGAATACCTGAAGAGCTGAGATGGCGCTTGAGGTGAGTGGGTAGAGACCTGTTAGTATGTGTATCGGTCAGGACAAACTAGCTTTTCCTGCAGCAACAAATAACCCCTGAGTCTAAGTGACCAAAAATAACAAAGACCCATTCTCATAGAGAATGTCCAACTCAGGACCAGGTGTCAGAGACGAGAGAGAGGCGAGGGCTTTACCGTACTGGCACATTAACAAGTTAGCTGACCGTGATGAGGTAGATGCTGGCAGAAGATACTTCTGGGTCAGAAATAGAGGATTTTATTACTTATCACAATAGCTGTAGCCAGAGTGTTACTATTTCTGTCCGTTCCCAAGCCCCAGTTCACAAGGGCTATGTGAAGAGTGGCAGGTGACAACTGTCCACAAAGTGGGTTATGTCACAGACGAACCCTGCACTTGGAAAATCTGTCGTGTTAATGGGCAGTAAATGTGCCTTGCTTCTGACGTCTTCCAAGGCTGAAGCAAACCTGCCCTTTGAACCAGAGGAAGACGTTATCTCTGTTTCCCATTCAGAGGTTCTCGAGAAGATAATCAAGAACAAATCCCATTAGTGCTTCCATTTGTAAGATGTGCAGACATGCGAAAGGCCTGTGAAGAATTTCCCCCAGTACCAAGCTGATTGGCATACCCCGTCTTGTGATCCCTCCATTGAAACACATGGCTTCTGGGGTTGATAGGGCAGGGAGAGAGACCCAGAGGGTGCTACCGAGCACCTCGCTGATTGGCCGCAAAGTGACAGTCCGCCGCTGCTTCCAGCCTGTTTGCCGGGTCTCCTCTAAATGCATCAAGTTCGGGACATGGGCTTATCCCTGTGTCCAGGTGGGGGAACTAGACGAACACCAGCAATTCTACCACAGCATGACTGTTTTTCTCTAGTAGCAGTTAGCTCTTCAGGTACAGCAACGAAGCATATGGCAGTTGGATTTATCCTCAGAATTAAGATTCTGACCAGCTAGTTTGATGGCAGAAAAGGGTGTTGAGGGAGATAAGTGGACTTAGATAAAGGACTTCAAACATAGATAAGCCGTGTGCTATGGTCCCAAGTGTATGCTTATGGTCTCTGTGTTCCTAATAAGAGATGCGGCCTTTATGATGTGGCTGAATCATGAGGTCTCCAACTCACAGTTCAGCGTTCTTTCCAAATGGCTGGACTGAGGGAGTGTACTTTCTGCCCTCTCTCATTCCGTGGTGTGAGGGTTTGGTGTTAGCAACAAGGCCCTGTCTTGCAGGGGAGAGCGCCCTCACCAGGCGACTGAATCTGACCTTGATGTTGGACTTCCAGGCCTGCAGAACCCTGAGAAATAAATCTCTGTCTTTATAAATTACTCAGTCTCAGATGTTTTGTTCTGAGCACAAAAGACTAACGGTATGGAACTGACACAGGAAAAGAAGGGAATTAAGGACACGGGAATGAATAATATGAAAGATGGCTAAAACAGTGGCCAGGAGGAGCGGGTGAGGTGGCAGAATTTCTGGAGTTGGAAAGCTCGAGCTAGGGAGCTTAATGGACAAGTAGTGGTCAAGTAGTGGTCACACTACTATTTCAAAGGTAGTGTAGTTTGAGTAATGATTAGGTCAAGAGTCCACCCGTGAAGTTGGAGGGTTGTGAGTAGATGGGAGAAAAATTACTAGAGGTGAGGGAGTCAGGGAACCAGGAGGCCAAAAAGTTGGATAATCACTTCAATCGATGTTGAAGTCACCCAGAATAGAGACAAGAACAGGGTTAGGGAGGAGGAGAGTGGTTCAGGTGACAGCATAAGCATTTAGGTATGTATTTGTTTGCTAAGGCAGCCATAATGAAGAACACAGATGAGGTGGCTTAAACAACATGCCTATCAAGTTGGCACTGTGGGCGGCTGAGGCAGGAGGATCACAACTTTGAGCTCATCCTAGGAAATTTAGTGACTTAGTGAAACCTGTCTCAAAATAAAATATAAAATAAAATAAAAGGCTGGGGATGTAGCACAATGTGAAGGCTCTAGCTTCAATCTCCAGTAACACACACACACACACACACACACACACACACACACACACACACACAAGGTAATATGGATAAAATGAAGCTACAGGGATACGATCTAAACTGTATGACTGATATCCTTAAGAAGAGGCTATAAGGATGCTGACACACATGGAAGGAAGGTGGGAAATCAGAGAGAATCATGTCATCTCTGTAAGTCAAGAAGAGAGGCCTGGGCTTGGCGTGGTGGTGCCTGTCTGTCATTACAGTGTTCGGGAGGCTGAGGGAGGTGGATCGTGAGTCTACGGCCAGCCTGGGCTGTAGAGTGGGACTCTGTTTCACAACAGAAGGCGGAGTCATGAGGTCTCCAACCCACAGATCAGCACTCTTTCTGAATGGCTGGACGGAGGGAGCAGGAGGAGGAGGAGACCTGAGATAAAACCAACTCTGCTGGCATGCTGACTTTTGACTTCCAGCCTCTAGATCTATAAATTTCTGGATTATTTTCTTTTGTTTTGTGGGCCTAGAGATTGAACCCAGGGCCTTCACATTGAATTACATGCTCAGCCCATTTTTTTTTCCTGTTTTGCTTTGCTTTTATTTTATTTGCAAAGATCCATCGAAATATATTTTCCTACTTTATTTTTTTCTATGATTTAAATTTTATGGTTTGTGCCATGTTACCTTGATTCCTCTCCCCGCTTCCATCCCTGACTTTCAAACCCCTCCCCCTCCCTGTTCACAAAGCTCTGTTTTCATTTTACCTTTCTTTTCTGATATTTTTCGTTCCCTTCCTTCATTTCACTCTCCCCTTTTCCTAATTCTCTTTTTTTTTTTAAGAGTTTCTTCCCATTTCACAACATCTATTGTACATTTTTGTTTTTACTTGCAATTTCAGTTTCTCACACCAGAGAGATAATGCAATATTTACACATGTGCCTAATTTATTTCACTTATGATTATGGTCTCAAGGTCCATCCATTTATCTATAAATGTCTCAGATTTGTCCTTGATAGCTCAGCTCGTTGTTTTTTAAATTTTGTTTTTTATTTTGTGATGGGGTCTCACTAATTTGCTAAGATGCCCAGGCTATCCTCAAACTTGCAGCTCTCCTGCCTCAGCCTCCTGAGTAGCGGGGATTACAGGTGTGCACCGCCCACACCCAGCTTACCTTTCTTACCTTTTTAAAGGCCCTGTTTCCAAATTCAGAATCCTAGGGGTTAAAATTTTAATGAATGAATCTTGGAGAGACACAGTTTAGCGCATCTTCTTCCCTGAAGATGTCCCTGGTTCTTTGACTTCAGTATTTTGAAGGGTCATCAGGCAAAAATCTTCAAAAACTTCTCAGCAACACACCTATAAAATCTCCCTGTACTCCTCTCTTTTTTGAGATGATCTGTTGTTGATTCTTTTTAGCCTGAATCCTGCTTTTATTTCCCAGAGCTGGGGCTGTCCCTCGAGAGCCCTCTCACTCTTGACTGACAAAACCTCAATAAACTCCGGTGCCTCCTCTACTGATTTTTTTTTTTTCCTCTACTGATTAATAAAGCTCACCATCTGAGTGCCTATGCATGGGGCATGCAATACTTACAGTCGGTGTGGCCCTATGTTTATGTCCTTTTGTATAAATGAGAGTAAAACATGATCATCCTTTTTAGCTCTTGTGCATGTTTACATGCTAGGTTCCATTTTTGGGTTTTGTTACTGCAAATCTGGCGTCTGCTCCAAGTTCTGCAGACAGTACTTTTGTCTCTGTAAGATGTATGAACACTTGGACTTCTCCCTGACTGATCTTATAAAAACTTGTTTTCTCCTCCCCTTTCCTTTCCAAACAACGTCCACTGGGAAGTCCATCCATGGCCACCCTCTGACCTCCTGAGCCACACACCGCCTGTCTGGAGGGTGGTCCCCAGGAATCATGTTTTGCTTGAGGCCAGGCACATTTTTAAGGGCATAAAAATACTTGCAGTGTGAGGAGAGGGTGGGATCTTGACACTACAGCTATATAAAATATATGAAGCCACGTTCCTGGGTCCTAAATAGCAGAATACGAAAGACCCAAGGCTGTCCTTCGTGTTTTTGGCGTTACAAAGTTTGCCGTGTGAACCGCCCTCGCTCTGTGGTCTCCTTCAGTTCCCTTGGTCATGCTTGCTTTCTTTCAGTGCTGCCCAACGAGAGAAGCTTTCAGGACGCTGCTAAAAGCAATAATCTGGATCTTATGGAGAAGCTGTTTGAAAAGAAGGTTAACATTAACGCTGTGAACAGTGTGAGTAGAAGTAACAAATATGACCAGTGATGACTCCAATGGTGGCTTGAGTTTGCACAGGTCGACTGAAATAGTGATAAAGACCGGGCTGGCTGAGATGTGGGAGCTCGCCTTTGTTGGTTGCTCCAGGGTGTTTAAGGTAAGGTGGGACTGAGCAGCAGAAAAGGCTGGCTGTTTAAATTCATCTCCTGAGAAGAGAAGCTCAAAGTCTTCAGGCGCATCTGTGCGAAGTCTGGGTGGGCAGCAGAGCTGTTGTCAGGGTTACAGGCCTGGACTTGGTCCTAGATCGTGGCCTGTGGGTGAGTTTGGCTTCAGACACTCTGCAAAGGCAGAACATCTTTTGCTGTGCAACCTGAGTTATTTTCTCTGTAGCGATGTCCTTTGTGGTCAGGTTTTCCCAAATTTAACACACAAAGGAGTATGTGGGTTTTAATTTCATTGCTTTTGAAATGTCGAACGTCCATTCATTGGGCAGTGAGACCTTTCCTGAGGCATGGCTTGTGCTTACTTGTTCCTCAAATGCCTGGGCTTTGGGGAAAAAATCCACTGCCAGAACTGTGGGTTCCTATTGCTTGCTTTTGTGAGTTCCTAGTAGCCCCTCAAGCCAGAGTTTATCAAGGCGAACGGGTTGGAGCCTATCTTGCTTAAGATGATTTGTGGAGTGGTACAGAAGCGGATGTAATGCTAAATGGAGCATAAGCTTCAGAGTCTATTTATCCAGACTCCTCCTAAGACACTGGGTGCGCCCTAGCAAAAGTTCCCATGGTTACGTGCTTTTCATAAAAGCTAAAACACTAATATATTACTGTAGTGAGTTACCTTCTGGTTCTGGCTTACAGAGGGCTCCTTAAATAGGCTGATCTCAGGCTCCACAAAACCAGTATCTGTTTCAGGCAGTAGGTCATGGAAATGAATGTTCAGCATCTAAAGTCACACACTGTCTGCGGCGGAAGGGTGCTTAGCACTGTGTGTGTGTTAGCGCATGTGAGAGGGGTCTATGGATGTCTGCCGGGTCTCTGTGTGTACTATCTGGGCATTTATGAGAGGGTTTCAGCCTGAGGCATAGCCTGCTGTGGATTACAGATCCTCAGATGTGTCTGATCATTACTGAAGACAGGATTCTGCTGAGTGCAGTTCTTACAACTTTCAAAGGGACAGGAAAAGAGTTGAGTTAAATAATCAAAATAGTAGGAAATTATTGCTCTTCAAGAACCAGGAATGCTAAAAAGGGTAAATAATGACCAGGTGACTAAGGAGCCATGTTATGTTTCCTCAGATGAACCGTACAGCCCTGCATTTTGCAGTGGGAGGAAATCATTTTTCTGCGGTGAATTTCTTACTGAATCACAAGGCCAGGGTGGATATTGCTGATAAGGTAAGCTCATCTACACACAGTGGGGTGGGTTGGAGCATAGCCAATGTACAGGGAGATCGGATCGCTCCAGACAGCTTTGCTTCACATGCACACAAAATGTTTCCACTGACAGTGTGCATTTTAGGAAGGTCTCTTTAGAGAATATACATATTGTGTGCTCTTTGTAGTTGGTGCTAAATTGTTAACCCATTCTAGGTCTTAGGCTTCCACTTACTGTCCTGTATTGACCTTATGGCCAGTAGCATGCCTTTGTGTGAATAATACGGTTGTCCAGAGTATAATCTAGTGCACTGAAAACAGAAATTAACTGAGCCCAGGGACATTAAATCTTGAGTTTGCTCTGTGGACTCTGGTAGTAAATAGATCTTAGTAAATAATACTACGTACCACACTTAAGCACTATTACCTTGATATTTAGCACCTCCTCCCAAACAACCTTAGCAGGAAATTTTTATTATAATATTCAAATTACAGATGAGGAGACTGAGACATGGAGAGATTAAATATCTTGCCCCCAAAACCTGTGTCTAAGAAGAGTTGGAGAAAGGATTTAAACCTAACTTGCTGAATTCCAGAAAGCATGCTGTTCACTACAAATCAGTTTAATTATTTGTTTTCTGAGGTGTTAAGACAAAGCCTGAAGATTTTCCCTCTACTTTTCCCACCTTCATTTAATGCTTTATCATGGCACAAAGAAACCAGCGGGGGAGAACCAAGATCATGTTTATCATCTCCAGTTATAGGAGATGATAACCTCACTCTCAAATTATTCATTCTCAATTAATTCCAGGGACCGTGTTTCTTAAATTTAAATTCTTCAGAAGATCCTTGCAGGCTATTGTTTTCTCTTGGACTGGGATTCCCTGAAGAATAAAGATTGCACTTTTACCTTCACATCTCACAGACTCTGGGCTTTGGAAGATAAAGTCAGGTTATACCAGTTAGTCACCTTGTTGGTTCTGTTGGCGAAGACAAGGTGTAGTCTTGACAGTGGTGGGAGTTTTCCCTTGTGTCACTGGTGGGCACCAATGGGCACATCCCTCTATAGTTTATAGCTCTTGGTCATGCCAGGCAGGCACTCTGCCCTTACTGCATGCCCAGCCAGTCTTTTGAAGATTTCTAAAACCCAAGTTATTCATTTTCTCAATGTAAGTTCTTTATGTATTTTGGATACAAGGCCTTCCTAAAGTATATGATTTTCTCACATCTGTGGTTTATCTTTTCAGTGTTTTTCTTTTTCTTTTTTTCCTTTTTCTTTTTGGTACCAGGAATTGAACTCAGGATCTTGGGCTTGCTAGACAGGCACTTGTGCCACTGAGCTATATTCCCAGCCCACTTTTCAGTGTTTTTCACAATGTAAATGTTTTTAATTTTGATGCAGTAAAATGTATTCACTTAAAAAATAAATCTTGATGTAGATGTTATACATAAGAATGATTTGCCTAACTAAAGTTCATAAGTTTTCTCATATTTTTCTCTAGTTTTTTCTGTAGTTCTGTTTCATGGTTGGATCTATAGTTCTTTTCTTTTTTTTTTTTTTGGTTTTTCTCCGGTACCGGGAACCGAACTCACGACCTTGCGCTTGCCAGGCAGGCGCTTTTGCCGCTGAGCTAAATCCCCAGCCCCTGGATCTATAGTTCTTATGGTTTGAATATGTCCCTAAAGCTCATGTATTGGAAAGTCAATCCCAGTGCATCAGGGTCAAGAGCTGAATCTTTAGGAGATGATTAGGCCAGAAGGCTCCACCCTCATGAATGGATTAATGTTGTTATCTTGGGAGGGGATCCTGATAAGACATAGAGTTAGGTCCCTTCCCTCTTTTAATTACTTTTCTTGTTGCTGACACAAAATACCTTATGGCCAAAGTTAAAGAGGGGAGAAGTTTATTTAGCTCACAGTTTGTGGAGGTTTCAGTTCATGATTGGCTGGCTCCAAGGCAGGGTGGCACATGACAGAGGGTGAGCATTTACAGTGAGGGAGACAGTAAAAGTGTATGTAGGGCACACACAAGTTTAATCTCAGCACTGGACCATGAATCAGTCACAGACCTTGTAGATTTAGCCACCTCTGAAAAGCCTGCCCCCCATGACTGCATGAGGCTTTTGGGGACACTTAGACACAAACCACGCATGTGATGCCTCCCATCATATTAGGATGCAGGAACAAGACCCTCACCAGTTGGGCCCCTCAGTCTTGGATTTCCCAGCCTCCTCATTACAAATTACCCAGTCTCTGGTATTCTGTCATGGTAGCACCAAACAGATGAAGACAACAGTTCATTCTGAATCAGTTTTAATTCCGAGTAGAAACAGGTTGAGAATCATTCACTTATTTTGCATACGAATGGCCAGATTTTTCAGTGTCGCTTCAATTTGTCAAAGCCTTTGCAGTCCTGTTTAGATGTGTCCCAGGAACCAGTGAGGCCTGGGCTGTGGGCTAGACGATGGTTCTGTTCTCTAAGCCTTTGTCAGATGGTAAGAATCAGTCCCAGCACAGCCCAGGCGTAAATTCAGGACACACTGTAGCTTCACAGGCTGCCTTTCTCTGGCTTCCTCCTCTCTCTAATTATTTCCCACACTCCCCAGCACCCCAAAGCTGGTAAGGCCAAAAGCAAAGAAAGGAAGCAGAGGATTTCTCTCACCTCTGTTCTTTAGGAGCCCTCTTTTGATCTTTAGGCCAGAGAGAGAAGGCTTGCACTGGAGTGCTTTCTGTCTGTCCAGTTCCACGATGGCGTGCTGCCTCGAGTCCAGGTGTAAGAAACAACAATGATGTAAACAACAACAAAAAACAAAGCCAGGAAACTTACTGAGGGATCATTCAGACTCTGAATTCTAGTTTTCTTCCCTACCACCTGCTGCCCTTGATTTCAGAGCCTTCAGATAGCTGGATTTTATTCAAGCATGTATGTTAGCTGTGTTTCATGGGAGAGAGGGAGTAGAGTGTACCTACTCTATCTTAGCCAGAACCATAACCCCAAATCTTTAATGTACGAGAGAGAGAGAGAGAGAGAGAGAGAGAGAGAGAGAGAGAGAGAGAGGGAGGGAGAGCCGTACCACAAATGCATATGTATCGATGGCTCACATTGAATAGCATCTTTTTTCTATACAGCGTATCTGAAGATTGCCAAGTTGCCTTTGTATTAAATTAGCTTTGGTGTATGTCAGCGTGTAAGCCAGTTATTCCTGAAATGAGGTGATATGTTACCAACTTGTTCTCTTTGAGGCTCTTCTAAACAAATACTCGGGTAACCTAAAATCTGGAGCATGTCTCTGGCTACCATGGCTTCTTTCCACATCACCTGTAAAACTAAAGCACTATCACATGAGAAATGGAGTAATTTCTGATATACTCTTTTCATACTTGTCTCACTACAATTTTGGCTAAGTGTTTTATAACAAGTTTAATTGTTCATAGTAGTGTTAGTCCACAACTGGGAAGATACTTTTCATAATTCAGGCAGTGCTGCTCAGTCAGATCTGGCAGCTGCTTTATCTCAGTGATCAGCCCCAAGTTTAACGTTGTGGATCTGTTTTCTACATTCCAGCACACATTAGCAACAAAATAACCGTGGACCCTTCACCTTCAGTGTACGGCCAGTACCTGCTGTGGCTCCCGTGGAGTTACTGAGATTGGACCGTACAGAACTCCTTTCTGTTCAAAGTGTGGGTCCGGGACTAGAAGCACAGGAGTCACCCAGGCACGTTGTCTTGGTTACTTTTCTGTCATTGCTGAGGCAAAATACCCAACGCCCAAAATTAAGGAAGGAAAGGTTTATTTAACTCACAGTTTGTGGAGGTTTCAGTCCATACTAGGCTGGCTCCAAGGCAGGTGACACATGGTAGAGGGCAACAGTTCATGGCGGTGGAAAACAGCAAAAGTCACAGGAGCAAAGGAGGAGCAGTGGCAGGCAGCCTCTTTCCCTCCCTTACACTGTATGCAAACTACCCGCCCCAGGGCGGGTGTAGCACTCACATCCACAGTCCCAGCATTGGACCATGAATCAGTCATAAACTCTAGAAGCCCACACCATGACTGTATGAGGCTTTGTGGGGACATCGAGACACAAACCATAACACACGTATTGGCAACAGTCTCAGGTCCTACCTTCTCCTTCTGAGTCAGGGTCTGATTTAAAAGAGCCCCTGGAAGTATGACACATGATAGTCTGAGGTACACTTCTGGCTTTTAGACACTCCTCTCTGGGGAGCGAGCACAGGTCTGTAACAGACAAGTTCCATGCCGGGTACCTATACCCAGCCACTGAAGACCTCCAGGTCCCAGCAGGTGGCATCTTCTTCCCGGAAGCTTGGGAGGAGGCAGATTCAGTAAAGGGAGGCTCTTAACACAGGTACAGCTCCCAGGAGGGATTGCACGGGTTGCCAAGAATGAGCTCCTACACCTGTGACAGGGCTGCTTCTGGGGACAGCTTGCTGGCAACTGCCTGGCATTTTACACTTTACAGAACAAGTGAGCCCGCTATGAGTGTGACCCCGACACCTGCCATGCACAGCCTCGGCACACCGGTTCCACAGCCAGAGACTGTGTCTGGTGAAGCTCCACTGGGGGAGTTCACATTCGAGGGTGGTGACTCATTGTCCCTGAATTGCAGTGACTCAAGGGGAATTTGTGGTTTCAGAGATTCCAACTGTGTGCTGCTTCAATTCCCAGTGTTTGGATTGTTATAGTTGTGCCTGGAAACTTTTAAACACTGACTGTTTTGAAATTAGCAATGACCTCTTAGGGAAAGATAGAGCCCCTATCAAAACGTGCCTTACCGCCTGTCCTAATATTCCAGGTCGTTTATGGTCAGTCCTATATGGAAGCCAGATTTAGTACAAAGGAATATGGAGCATGATTTCTAGGGATGTCTGAATTAGGAGGTGAAATTCTGGTGAGAGCAGATGTTTTGAAGACTTTCAACTAGTCCTTGTGCACTGTTGCTCCTTGTTAAAAAAAAAAAGTACAGAGATTATTAAAAGTTTTCCTCATATTTGGATGTGTAAATATGGAAATTGACTAATTCATACTATGGTGTAAATTTGATAGGGAATGTATTTTAGAGAGGGCGTCTTCACAGAGGCACCACTGACATTTGGGGCCAGACCATTCTGTGTTGTGGGACTTCCTATGCACTGTGGGATACTTAGCCCTCTCCCTGTGCTCTACCCACTATGTGCCAGTTTTTCCTGCCAGTCATGATGATAAACATTTCTGAGACATTTCCTAATGTCCACTGGAAACAAAACTGGCTCCAGCCAAGAACTGCCGACTTAGAATCCCATCTCAGTCATCTGGGATGACTCGCTGTTCACTCTTCAACCTGAGCCCTACTGAGAATAAGACAATACAGGAACACAGTTTCTGGGGCAGCGAAATAAACACCAAAGCACTTCTATAATTTGGAAATAGAAGCCCCCTCGCCCTCGCACCTTGTTTGTTTACCCTGTGTGCATCTGGTTTCCTTCGTCACAAACACAGCCTATTAGGAAAGACGAGTCCGGTGTGAGAGGGCTTGCTCTAGCTGCCACCTGGCAGAGGTAATGGGTTACTTCTGACAGAGAAAAACGCGAGAAAAGGAGACACAGGTGCTGAAAGGTAAGGAATGCAAGGCAGAGTGTAAGCTAAGCTGACTCACATCATAAATTTGCTGAAGGAAGGCACCAGAGTTTGAGGTCAGTTTTCTTTGACTGTAAGGAGCTGCTGACAGGTGTGCTTTCCAGACCTGGGCGGAAGGCATGGGTGTGTTTCATTTCCTCCAACCCCACCTCTGGAAGTAGCCAGTGTGAGCTGCGGGCTGTGTCCTTCCACACTTTTCTCCCTGCAAATTCAGTATCTAATTCAGCATCTGACCATCCACGGCAGCCCCAGGCCAGTAAGTCCTGATCCCAGCCGCTCCTTCAGTCTAACCATTGCACTTTATATACACATGTGTACACACACATGCACACGTATCTTGAAACTTTGCGTAAATGAAATTTTTTGGGTAGCTTCTTTACAAATGGGCTATTTTCCTATACCTTGTTTCTTCTACTCTTCTTTTCTGTATCTTTTCTCTAGGAACCCTACTTAACACACAGAGATATGTGTATTTATTTCTGTCCTTTTCTCTGTTCAAATAATCATATCTCTATCAATACATCTACCTCCTTGCCCACTTATAGATATAGATATGTACATGTATACACATGAGGATTTTGTTTATTGCATCTTTTATAAAAATGTGATTATATGCTATTTTCTCTTTGATTTTCCCCATTTAGCTAAGTTCATAGAAATCTTTTCAAGTCCAGTGTTATAGCTCTGATTCTATTTTTAATGGTTATGCAGTACAACTGTTTCATATTTTACTCAGAATTCCCATATTGATGGGCATATACCTTGCTCTCATTTTTCAGTGGTGCAGTTAATATCCTCATGTATGTAGTGTTAAGTTTTCATGAAATAAATCCCTAGGAGTGGGACTGCTGATTGTATTTACATTTCAATAGGATTTGCCAGATTGTTTTAGAAATAATGGTTTCTATTTTCTCTGATTCCTTAAGAGCAGCACCCTTCTTTGTGCATTTTTCTGCCAGTCTGTTTGTTTATCCACTTACTTCTGACAGAGTCCATTTTGGCTTGTGTCTAGGTGTCCCCCCAAAGCCTCATGTAGTCATAGGTAGGGCTTTTTCAGGGGTGGCTGGATCTGGAGTGTGTGACTGATTTATGGTGCAATGCTAGGATTAAGGGTGCTGGGATTAAGAGTGGGTGATTACTAAATCAGTCCTGATGGGCTTGGCCCTGCCCTAATCCTGGTAGCCTGGACACAGTATTAGGGACAGAAAGAGACTTGTCCTGCCCTCTTGCTCACTTTGCTACCGTTTGCCCACGTGAACTGTTCTCTGCAATGCTACCCTGCTTTGGAGCCAGCTGATGATGGACTGAAACCTCTATGACTGTGAGCTGAGTAAACCTTCCCCACTTTAACTTTGAGTGTCAGCCATTTTTGTCTCAGCAGAGAAAAGTAACTAAAACAGGGTCTCACTGTGTAGTTCAAGCTGGTCGTGAACTATTAAACCAGGCTGGCTTTGAGCTTGTGGCAATCCTCTGTCTCAGCCTCCCAAGGGTTGGGATTACAGGCATGGGCCACCATGCCCAGCCTTTCTGTTGGTTTAATTGCCTTTTTTGTTGATTACCACTCATCCTTATTAATGACATTTTAAAAAAGCCATTTATTTATTGACTTTTTAGTTTTCTTTTTATAATTCTGAATTAAGAGAGTATATACATTATGTCTAGATTTTGTCTTAATACATTTATTGTTTCTGTTTTTTTAAATATAGTGAATATAGCATTTCATTTTATTTTCTTCAGATGGTAAATCACTTATTAAATATATCTATAGAATTGAGATATCACTATCTGTCTATCGATATATATATATATATCAGTCATCTATCTAGCTATCTGCAGTGTTGGGGATGGAACCCAGGGCCCTTGCACTGAGTTATACCTGGAGCCCTTTTTATTTTTTATTCTGCCCAAGCTATGTTTCAACTTTCGATCCTCCTGCCTCAGCCTCCCAGAGTGCTGAGGTTATGGGTCTGTGCTACCACACCATGTGTATCCTTGCTGTAATTGGTTATTTTTGCTATTTTTAAATTGTGTACTTCTTAATTTTCAACATCCTGGTATTAACTAGGCCTGTGCTGACTGATAGGATTCTGTGGTCATTGGTGTGGCTGATTTTCCTCTTCTGTCTTTGGGAAGCATGGTCTGACAGTGATTCACCTCGCAGCCTGGTCGGGGAGCTTTGAGATCATGCTCATGCTGGTTAAAGCTGGTGTGGACCAGAGAGCCACGAGCCAGGTAGGAACTGCATGGTCTGTCTGGATTGTTGCTTCTACCCGGAGGGGAGGGTGTGGGCTGCAGGGTGAGGTCTCCTCCCTCTCCTCCCTCTCCTCCCTCTCCTCCCCACCTCTTCAGGAAGGGCTGAATGCGCTGCACTTCGCTGCCCAGAGCAACAGCGTGCGCATCGCGGAGTACCTGGTCCTGGAGCTGCACCTGCGGGAGCTGGACCAGCGCGACCAGGTGTGCTGGGGGTAGGAGGGTGGATGACAACGCCCTACCCCAGCCCCCATTTCTGCTTTCTTCCTGCCTCCGAAGCAACCGCAGACCTGCTGGAGTAGCCAGCTCCCCAACCACTGTGTCAGACACAGAACAAAGGGAAGGGTTAGCTGTGACCCTGCAGACGACAGAAAGTACTGCAGAAGCAGATAGGTCCATGTTTCTTTTCTACTCTGTCCTCCGGGCCAGGGTGTGGACAGTATCCATTCCCTTCAGCACTCAGACTGTGTGTCTGAATTTTATCTGCTGTACCTCACCTTTTTAGAACGTATTTGACCCCAAGCTAAGCAGTCACCAGTCATGGGATATAATACAGTTTTACTGTATTTGTCTACATTCCTTGTCCTTTCACAAGGAGATACATAATAATACCAGCCACCACTGCCGAGGATATAGCTCAGTGGCACAGCGCCTGCCTGGCAAGTGCAAGGTCCTGAGTTCGATTCCTGATACCAGAAAGAAAGTAATACCAGCCACCTCTTCATGGGTATTCATGAATGTGCTAGGTGTGGAAGGGAGCTATTACATACATTACTTCAGTGACAGGTGTGGGCCTGGCCCACCTGGATGCTCTACCCATGATCACTGAATGACTGACTGACCGAACGACCTTGTTAATCCCCACACTAATCCAGTAAGGTAGAGAATATTTTGCTTATTTTTAGAAGTCAAGAGTCAGAAGTGGTCCAAAGTCTCTAACCTAGAAAGTGACAGCACCAGGATTTGAAGCCAGTCTGTCTGGCAATGGTTTAGTCATTTATCCAGGATCTCTTCTCAGGTGACAGTGCTGGACACTGCCCGTGCTGGAGATTGTCTTTTCCCTGGAACGCCTCCCTCCGTGTCCCTGTTAGGTAGACTGGAACCCTTGCTGCACCAGGCAAGGGTCTGATGTGTCTGCAGTGGCGCAGACTTCACAAGTGTGGCCTTCATTGTTCTGCGAACTACAGCAGGGGTCTCCAAGCCTGGGCCTGGCCTGTTAGGTGCGGGGCTCCTGGCAGAGATGAGTGGTGGGCAAGTGAGGCAGCTTTGTCTGTGTTCACAGCTGCTCCCTGGCATCGCTGGCATCACTTCCTGAGCTTCACTTCCTGTCAGAGTGGGGCAGTGTTAGATTCCCATAGAGGCGCAGATGCAACTGAGACTCGGGCGTGCCAGGGATTAGACTGCAACTGCCCTATGCACATTCTGTCCCGTGGAGAAACTGTCTTCCATGGAATTGGTCTCTTGTGCCAAAAAGGTTGGCACCGCTGCACTAGACCATTATTTTCTTTTGTTTTTCTTTTTTTGTCTTTTTGAGACAGAGTTTCGCTATGCAGTTCAGGCTCGCCTCTCACTTTGCAGCCTAGATTGGCTTTGAGCATGCAGTGATCCTCCTGCCTCAGCCTTCCCAGTGCTGGGATTACAGGTGTGCACCACTATGCCCAGCTAGAGCATTATTTTCTATGATAGTTTCTTTAAAATGTAATCAGTACTGTTCATTTTACCTTTTTTAAAAACAGTTTATACTTTTTCCTGACCCCAATCTTAAAAACAACAACAGCAATACTCCCATTTTTCAAATGAGCACCATAAAGTTCTTTTACTCCTTTGCATATGACCAAACCACTCTATATTTATAGCTTGGAGGCCAATACACAAGAGCTGTGCTCCAGGCAGTGCTACCTTATTAGCTCCACGGCTTCAAGCATCTGTTGCAACTGTTGCTGAAAGCCTCGGCTTCTCTATCTGCAGAACAGGAATAGAATAATAATAATAAAATCTGCTCCCTAGAAGCACCAAAAGATAGCGGGGGAATCTTCTCACACACACACACACACCCTATGGGCAAATCTCCATTCTTTGATATAGATAATTGATAGTTCATCAATCTTATGTAAAATAGTTCATCAAACTTATGTAAAAGTACATATGCAAATGGGCTTCATGAAGAGCCATTTTGGCACATGGGATAATCCCAGCACTCAGGAGGCTGAGGCAGGAGGATCACTGTGAGTTTGAGGTCAGCTTGAGCTGCATAGCAAGATTGTCTCAAAAAACCCAAACAAAAAACAACAGAAGGAAAAAAGGAAGAGCCATTCTGAAACCTCCTTCCAATCAGACACCACCCCTAAGACATTCCTTTGTACAGGGAACCCACTGCGGGATTCATAAATAAGATAATGATTTGTGCTTAGCAAGGAGCTGGGCTCATGGTAAATGCTCAGTAACTAGAGCAGCCTGAACATAGTTCTTCAGGATAAAGTGCATGGTCCAATTTCCCCGAGCTGACAGTCATAGTCAAACACCATTTAGCATTGGGTGACGGCCCTGGGCTTTGCAGTTTGACCCATGCTGGGTTGAGAGGCAGCTTATGAGTGAAGTCCACTCAGGAGGTGTTTGTGGAGAGCCCGCTGTGGACAAGCCCCTGCAATTGCTTCCCTGTGTGTGGGCTCTGAGCTTTCACGGGACCCAGCAGAGTGGAGAGCAAGTTTGCAGGGGAACCGGCCCCACTTCATGAGCTTCTCCTGGCCAGACGCTTGCTATTGTCATCTCTCTGTGCCTGGCTCTGATCTCGTTCTGGCCCAGCTCTGTCCTGCTCTATCTGGTGAGGAGAAGGCTGCGAGCCCCACAGAGACTGCAGGACCACACCATCATTAGCGATCTTGAGACAGACTTGAGGACCCATGGGGTGAGCGAGTCCTTTTGGTTGTGCAGGAGACGAAGGCTCGCAGAGCTCTGGTTCAGTCCTGTAACAACACTGGATCGATCCCTGGAAAGACAAACTAAGTGCACGCTTTTTACCAAGATATATGACTGCAGTCAGGTGTGTTGGCAAAAGCCACTTGCAGTTGCAGTGCTAAGGGGTAGTGGGGAGAGGAGTGCAGAGTTACTGTTTAATGAGCACAAAATTTCAGTTTTGCAAGATGAAAATTGTCGTGGAGATAGAGGGGGTGATGTTACACAACAGTGTGAATATGCCCAGTACTGCTGAACTAGATGCTTAATAAGGGCTAAGATGGTAAATTTTATGTTATAAAAATTTACCACAGTGGATAGCCAGGCGTGGTGGGGCACTTCTGTAACCCCAGCACTCGGGAGGCTGAGGCAGGAGGATCATGAATTTGAAGCCAGCCTGGGCTGCAAAAAAAAAAGATCCTGTCTCAAAAACAAAACCAGAACAAAGCAAAAGAAGACAAAACTCACAATGAAAAAAATTGGAAAAAGAAGCCAGTTTGCAGCAGGGATCAGGAGCTCACAGTCAGTTAACTCCTCACTGGGCTTCCTGAGCAGCTGGGTATTGGTGTAGGGAGACTCTGCAGTTCGTGGAACACGTTTGATAAGAAAGACCACCCTGTCTTCACAGCTTTGCCCCTTGCCTAGATTCCGGTCAAGAGAAAGCATTGAACACGTTTCCCTTGCAGGGTTTGCAAGCCCTTCTGTTTTCCCTGGAGAGAACTTCAGATGCAGACAAGAAAAGCTCTCCTGGGAAGCAGCTTTGAAAGAAGGGGATGGAGATCAGCCTGGGAGCGTGCGGATAGGGCTGGGCCAGGCAGGACACCGGCTGGGGACCCTTTGCTGTTTCTCCCAGCTACATAGCCCTAGAAATCAGCCTGGTTTCACCAGAGCGGCTGGAAGTTTTAGGTAAAGTAGGATAGTTTTTCTGTGTGTGTTTTTTGTTTTGTTTTGTTTTTTTGAGACAGAGTCTCACTATGTTGCCCTGGCTGGCCTTGAACTCCTGGGTGTAAATGATCCTTCTGCCTCAGCCTCTTGAGCAGCAGGGCTGAAGCGGGCAGGGCTGGTCCTGGCTGGATACTGTGTATCTCCATGTAACCTCCATCTGGTGATAAAAACTAAATACACAGACTAAAATATCTGGGGAGAGGCTGGGCATGGAAGCACATGCCTTGTGATCCCAGCACTCAGGAGGCTGAGGTAGGAGGATTGCTGTGAGTTTGAGGCTAGCCTGGGCTACAGAGTGAGACTCTGCCTAAAAAAAAAAAAAGTTTGGGGAGGAGGGAAATGCAAAGGGAGCCCTTAGTGAGCATTCATATTCTGGTTGGACCTTTGCCAGAGTTTGGTGGTCCACAGTTAGGTTGGTTCCAGTGGTGGACATAGGGAAAAGCCCACTGGTCTAAAGGAGTCTGAAATGGAAGCCAAAATGTGAAGAGGCTTCCTTTGCAGGGGGTTGAGGATAACAGATAGATGTCTTAGTTGCTTTTCTCTTGTTGCAGGGACAAAATACCTGACACCCAGAATTAAGGAAGGAAAGGTTCATTTAGCTCACAGTTTGTGGAGGTTTCAGTCCATACTTGACTGGCTCCAAGGCAGGGTGGCACATGGCAGAGGGCAATAGTTTATGGTGGCAGAAGACAGCAAAAGGGAGGAGCGGCAGAAAGAGCAAGCCTCCTTCCCTCCCTTACACTGTACGCAAGCTGCCTGCCCCCGGGGAAGGTGTAGCACTCACGCCCATAATCCCAACATTGGACCCTGAATCAATCACAAACTCGAGAAGCCTGCACCCATGACTGCATGAGGGTTTGGGGGGACATCCAGACACAAACCATAACAGAGGGGATTTGCACAGGCAGCCCTCAGTGTCCTCGGGACGGTTGCAAGGCTGCCCCAGTCTGCTAAAACTCCAATGACCAGTGCTCATGGAGAAGGACGTAGTGCGCATGCTTGAACCACCCTCGGTCGCTCGTAATGCGGATCAGAGGGGCCCCGTGGGTGGCTGTCATACCGCACTGTCTAGAGAGTAAGAACGAGGGAAAATGTCTATGTTCAGTAGAGGTGCAGTGTTCCTCCCAGATGTTTTGAATCTGGGTAGTGAAATCACAGATATGGAACTAAGGGGTACAAAGAGCCAACTGTGCACAGCCAGGAGGCCGTAAGGAGGACCCCAGGTCACCCCGACCCCAGCCAGCACCCCACCTCCTGCTTAGCACTGCCTTTCTGCGCCACTGACCCTCGTGGCGCAGTCTTTCTTGCTTAGCTCGCTAGTTATTTAGGGGTCCCCGTATCTGGGGCTTACTTTAAATTCCTGACTCCGGCTGAGGGGAAATGTTGGGGGAGTGGGTGTGAGCAGGAGGCACCCTGAGACCCCAGCAACGTCTCAAGGATCCCTGTGGTAAAGAAAAGTCAGGTGGCACTTTGGATGCCTGTGTTTGGCTAATTATTCAATTTAATAACCATGGAGGTAAACTTTACAAATAATTTATAATAAATAATTCTAACCCCTCAGTTTTATTTGCATGCAAAAAAATTGAATGCACTGAGTGAAAACGTATTAAGTTACATACACATTGAGTTAATAAAAGAAAAAGGGAAGGGGAGTCCGGGCTCTCCTATTGAAGTTAGTGAGGAGAGGAGGTCAGGATTCTGAGCCCAGAAGACCTGGTGTCTGTCCGGGCCTAAGCCCGTGGCTCTCACACCAGGCCAGTTACCTTCCTGGCTGGACGATTTTTCTGCCTTTCAAATACAGAAGGGCCTGTCAGACCTACTTGGACATAATGAAAATGGGTTGGGTAGTTTAAAAAAATAAAATAAAACATGATAAGAAACTATAATTTAAAAACCACACATATCTTTGAAATTCCTGTTATTTTTCTTAATAACATACACTAATCGGGAGAAAAGATTTATATTTCACTTTACTACCCCCTCATCTTCTTTACGCTCCCTTTGATGTATTCGTAGATACAGATGGCTGTGAATGTCCTCGCTGTGCGCATAGCTTGGCTTTTACATTTTCCCTTGCTGGTGGCATTCCGAAAGGGCACCCGGCATTCCGCGCCACTGCTGTTTCCTGGGAGAGGAAGCGCCTGGTCCCTGATAACGGGGGTATTTTCTCAGAACCTCCCCTGTCTTGGGCTTTCTTTTAGGGGTGGCCCCTGTGTGGCTCTGTTAGGCTATGGAGGGTGCAAAGATTTGTGGCAACCACGAGTAAGGCAGAAGGCCGCCGTGGAGCTGAATAGATCTCTGAGCTTTCAGGGGTTTGTTGTCTCCTTAAAGTGCTGCAAGAGTTTAATCCTGAGTGCAGTGGTGCTGGAGGGTGGAAACTTCTCTTGCTGTGATGTTCAGTGGTGGAGCACTTGGGAAGTGATAAGCGTTAGATAAAGTCATCAGGGCAAAGCCCATGTTGCATCCTTACGGCTTTTTATAGGCAGAGGAAGCAAGACATGTATGATCCCTGCCCTGACCCAGGACTCGGCCAGTAAGACTGCTTTACCAGAAGAGCCTCTTTGGTCTTGTACCTCTAGAACCGGGAGTCAAACTCCTCTCTTTATGAAGTAGCCTGCTTTGATATTTCTTTATAGTAATGAAAAATGGGCTAAATGGATAAATGGATAAATATGGATAAATGGATAAATATGTATTAGATAAATGGATAAATGGATAAATGGATAAATATGTATTAGAATTCTGTTACAAGCGACAAAGATCCATCTTAATCTAGATGAAAGGATGAAGGTAATTTATCAACTCCTAACTGAAGTGTTTGAGGATGTATCTGGATGACTTCAGGCATGGCCGGATCCAGCTCATGTTTTTTCTTTAGCTGCTGGTTGTCTGTACATTGGCATTATTCACAGGTATGCTTTACGCATGGTGGGGAAGATGGCTGTTAGCAGCTTTAGGTTTTAACATAGCTTTATTTTTTTTTGGTCCATAAGAAAGAAAAAAGCCCTCTCGTGCATATATACATTTCAGGAACAATTCTGTTTGGCTTCGTTTAAGTCTTTTTCTTAACCCTGAACCAGTCACTGCGACCGACATGGGTCATGTGATCGCTTTGTGTGATAGGAAGCAGGTGTAAGGCCTGGCGACCATAGCACCTAGTGCCCTAGTGACAAGGTGTGTGCGCCGATGCGTGAGGCTGTTGCAAAGGAAGCCAAAGTGCTACTGGCGCTGAAAGGTAAACCAAAGGTAAAACCCACAAGGTCCATTTTAGGGCACATGCTCTCAAATGGTCATGCTTTGTTAACTTTCTGGCTGTGTCCTCCCCAACTGGGTCAGACAGATCATTAACTATATACCAAGCAGCACCACCCCTTATGCAAGGTGCATTGGGAGGAGCCGAGACGAATCATAGTACCAGAGGACACCAGAGTGGATCCCTGTAACCACACCTGTCTCTTGTGGGGACCCTGGAAATGGCCCAGGGAGTTGTTCCTGTGGGGCATGAGCCTCCTGAGCTGGGGCAGCTCCATGGCCACGCTCACCTGCAGAGCTGAGGACTGCAGCTCCTGGGTGCTATGTGGACCGTGGGCTCAAGGCACTGCTGACACCCACAGGCTGGGCTCACGTCCCTCGTCAAGACTGGTGCCAGTGTGATAAATACTTAGTTGAATCTAGAGATTCCTAGTGGGGATGAAGTCTCTTGTAACTAGGTAGCACCATGCAGTTGTTGAAAGGAGCTCCCTGGGCAAAGGTGACAGAAACTCAACTCAAACTGGTTTATTTTTATTTTTTCCTTTTACAGGACTGGGGATTGAATCCAGGCCAGGCAAGCGCTCTACCACTAAACTCCATCCCCAGCCCTTTTTAAGTTCTATTTTGAGACAAGGCTTTGCTTAGCTGTCCAGGCTGGCCTTGAGCTTGTGAGCCTTCTGCCACAACCTCTGGAGTAGCTGGAATTACCGGTGTACATCACCCCAATAGCCCAAGCCAAACTACTGGTGTTTTAAGAAAAAGCAGAGGGGCTGGACTGGTGTTCCCAGCCCAGGTATGGATCGCTCCAGGCCGTCTGCACCAGGGACTCCCGCGGTATCATCAGGGCTCTTTCCCTCTTCCTGCTTTTCAGCTCTGCTGTCCACCACGCAGGCATCATTCTCAGGCAGGGTCTCTGTCTCCAGTGGCAAGGAGGGCTACTGACAACTTAGCTGCCTGCTGGAGAATGAAAGTGTGCTGGGGAAACATCGCTTGGGCGACTCTGAGTGGCCTGGTGTGGCCGGTGCCACCCCCGGAAAAGCCCTGTGGCCAGGGAGGACATGGTGGAAGTGGGGAGTCTACAACCGGGCGCGGTACAGAAGGGCCAGTGGGGGAGCTGCAGGTGCCGAGCTCCTGGTGCGGTGGACTGGCAGGCTTTGAAGGCTGCCCTCTGCCATTTGTGCTGCCCACCTCTGCCACAGGGACAGAGCCTCACTGAATCCCGTGCCCTCTCTCTGTGCCGTCGGAGCGCCAGCCCTCGGTCCCCACAGTTCTCTGTAAGTCACCTGTGTGCTGTTCCCTGCCGGACCGCGAGCCACTTTGGGCACCCTATGCTCTTCCCAATAGCTGGAATTAACGAATGTGCTCAATACCTGGTGAATAATGGCTGGATGACTTAGCTGTGTGACGCAGAGTTCTCCGCTGATATAATTAATGTCTCTCGTTCCTCTCTCCCAATTTGTTTACGTGAACTTTTATCTGTTGTCATTATTTGCAGGTATTTATAAAAGTCAGACACCATAATTTTTGGTCTGTCATTTCCAAATGGCCTGAGACCAATTAGTGCCTAATTTGCAAGCAACAAGCTGTGACTCTAAGCTGCCAGTTCCTTCTCTTTGTCCTCCTTTAGTGATTTCCTGAGAAGGAGGAAGAGAGTCTGGCCTTTAGGCTCTGAAGGGCTGAGGATGTAGATCTCACGGGAGACATCTCAGGTCCCGAAACAATGCCTCAGGTGAACTTTCGGGCCCCAGTTGGTCTCTCCAGATTCCACACATGCCTGAATACAGACCCACAGAGGGCCGATCACTGTACATGTTTCTAGTTTTGTTTGGTGTTTACCATTTACCATTTCTGCATTTTCTCTTTCTCTGTTTCCTCTCCTGCTGTTGGAGACGTGTGAGTTAACAGCAGGGACAGCCTTTTCATCAAGCTGTATTACCAAATGGTCAGGTCCCACTCAGACCTAGGACTCCTTTTTGTTTGAGACAGGATCTCGCTTCTAGTTCAGGCTGGCTGTGAACCCTCTTTGTAGCCAGGCTGGCCTCGAACTCTTGACAATCCTTCTGCCTCAGCCTCCCAAGTGCCGGGATTACAGGTGTGACCACCACGCCGGCCTCACGACCCATTTTGGAATGAGAGGCTGGAATTTTTATTCTTCCATCACATCATAGACGTCGTGCTAAGCTTTCAGTTAATAACAACTAGCCATGTTGTGGATGTATTCCTCTCTTCAACTGATGAAAATGTGCCTGTCACCGTTTTCCCATGCCAGTTTCACTTGCCTGCTTTTAAATACCTCAGGTTAAAAAATGAAGTTCTCTCTGGGTCTTTCCGTGTTCTTGCTGATGTTTGGCTATTGCAGATACGGTCTCCACTGGCAACATGGCAAGTGGGAGAGATTACCATAATCAGAAAATCCTACATTTGAATTTCCCAGTGAATCTAATTTAAACACTTTTCCTCAGCTGTAGTCTCCGGATAATGTTTATTTCTCCATTCCATTTCTTATAGCACCGTTCTTAAGAGCTTTCTTATTGATTCTTATTAAATGGGGGAGTTAAATATATGCACGAGCAAGAAGGCCTAAAAAGCAAGTGTAAAATGTCATCCGTGAACGAGCCACATAGACATGAAGTCCTGGAGAATTTCCACTTCAAACGTTTTTCATCAATGAGGCTGGTGTGATATGCTGAGATAGAATGTAGCACATAGTAGCTTCTCAGTAAATGGCTGAGTGAAAGAACCACTGGATATGTATGTATGGGAAGTGCATAACATCGCCGTGTTTGCTTGGGGTTGATTGTCTTCTGAACAGTGCTTTTCTTGTCGCTATGAAACTCAACCCACAGTTTTGGGTGTCAGCCTAGAACTGCATCTGGCTCAGGGTCAGAGAAATTGTCATCTCCCATCTCCCTGCCCTAAAAGGGGCCCAGAAATGCTATGACCGGAAGGACCATCATGACCACCTCATGACCTTGATATGTCACTGGCCTTGACGGTCATCTTGCTCTGTGCTGAGTGTGTAGTAAATGCTACAGTTTGCCTTTGATTTTCAGAAAGGAAGAAAACCATTTCTCTTGGCGGCTGGGAGGGGTCACGTGGAAATGATAGAGAAGCTGACCTGCCTTAACCTGCACACTTCGGAGAAGGACAAGGTGCACTGGACTTTGATTTCTTTGCTGAAAACAGAAGGAAGGGAGAGTGAGAAGCAGCAACTGCTGTGGAGATCTGCACACAGCATTTTGCTCTGCAGTAAAATTGTTAACTTGTTACCACAAAGGGAGGCGTGGACCGTCCGGGTAAGATCCAGCCTCTTAGCTGTAGATCGTCCTCCTTGGCGGCTTTTGCTTCATAAGTGTGTAGAAACCAGCTGGCCTCGTGGAATTTTCCACTTTCAACACCCACCCTTTTCTCTCCTCTCAAGACCTGCTTTGGACTTGGTCCCAGGTAACTGGGGAGGGGAGCACCTGAGGTAGACTTCCAGGACTAGATGGACATCTCTGGGGGTCCTGTAGGGGAGACTCCTGTGTGTGGATGTGTGGACCAACGAGTTCTGCACACTCTAAAGCCTTTTCTGTAACTAGAATGGCCTCTTAGAACCCTCGGACCAGCTTGCCCTCACCTGAGCTAAGTGTCCTCGCTTTGCTTGTCCAGTCTTTGCTAGAGAATTGGTAGGAAAGGTGGGGCAAGCAGCACAGGTGATTTCTGTTTCCTTCTGGTTCCAATAGCTATTTTTTTTAAAATTCAGGTTTTAAAAATGTTTAAGTAAGTCTTAAAGCTGCGGCTGATATGGTGTACATTCTGGACTGCGGATCTAACTGGAGGGGAACTTCCAGGGCCCCTCCAGAACTCCGGCTGTGGGAACGGGCGCCCCCTGGCGGCCGGGGCTGGAGTGTGCATTTCTGTTGCAGGAGGGAAACACGGCCCTGCACCTGGCTGCGATGCACGGCCACAGTCCCGCCGTGCAGGTGCTGCTGGCTCAGTGGCAAGAAGTGAACGAGACTAATGAGGTAGGTGGGAGCGCTCGTTCCAGCTGCACAGAGGGCTGCAGAGGCGGAGGGCTGGAGGAGCAGCTTTGCAGAAGGGAATTGGAGGAAGATAGAGATGTGGGTGCCACAGGGTATAAATTGTGACATTAAAAGATTCCAACTTGTTCCTTCCCGTATCCCACAGCACGTTGCTCGTCTGTTCACTCATTCACCCAGCCATTCAAAAAACATTATTTAATAAGGTATTTGCTCTTTGATGCCTACAGGGAAATGCAGGTGTGCAAAAAAAAAAACAAAAAACAAAAAACAAAAAACAAAAAACAAAACTGTAGTGGGCTATGTGCAGTTATAGATGCATACTCTGAGGACACAGGAAACTTCCGGAAATGACGGACTTCTTGGAGGTGGTGATTAGTTAGGTCGTGGTTGCATGGACTCCAGCAGGAAGGGCTCTGAATGGATGTCAGAAGGAGGAGGGCACAGTGTGGGTACTTCAGACAGGGGGAAGAACCAGGTAAAGGAAGTGAGGCGTGAAAGAGCATGTGTGTCCCAGGGCCGACACACTCAGGGTGACAGAAGCTGAGGACGGTGGACTGGGAAATGTGGAAGCTAAGGCTAAGCAGGTAGATGAGGAAACACAGGGAGAGGGTTGTCTTTGACCTGCAGCCAGCGGAGAGCTTGCAGGGTTTTAAGCAGTGAAGAGGGATGGGGTCCACCTTGCATGTAGGAGGTTTGCAGGGTGGAGTGGGGTGCCTGTCCCTGGCTGTGGAGCACAGGGAGGAGCAGCGAGCGCAGGTTGGAATGAGTTTGCTTGAGGCCTCTTGGGGGTACACTCAGCTGGAGAGTAGCAGGGAGGTGGAAGCTGGCCGTGAGATTGGGTGTGGGGGCTGTGGCTGTGGAGGCGGATCTGTGAGTCCGCTGTTAGGATCATCACTTCTTATCCTTTTAGTCAGTGACCTTTTGGGCTAGTTCTTTGGAAACTGAGGTGAGTGGAGTCCTTTCAGGCTTCATAGCTGAGTGTTCTGATGATTTCTAAACTTGATACTTTTCAGGAGAGATACTGGAAGAAGTGCTATCATAAGAATTTAACATACCATGGAGCTGAAGGCACACCATTATTCTATGCAACACTAAGAAAAAATAACGCTGCCGATTGAAATATGACACACAAAAAGCCTTTCTGTCACTTAGACCATTTACTTTCCGCCAGGCGTGGTGGTGTACTTCTATAATCCCAGCACGTGGGAGGCTGAGGCAAGATCTCTACAAGTTTATGGCCAGCCCAAGCTACTAGTGAGTTCAAGACCAGCCTGAACTATTGAGTGAGACCTACTCTCCAAAAAACCAAACCAAACCAAACTGAAATGAAACGTGAATATCTCCTTTATCCTTGAAAGGGCTTTTTGACTTTTAATTTTTTAAAATTGATTGATTGATGGTGGTACTGGGGACTGAATCCAGAGAGCGTTTTGAGCTGCATCCCCAGCCTTTTTTATTTTGAGAGAAGATCTCACCTATGTTGCTCAGGCTGGCCTCAAACTTTTGATCTTCCTGCCTCAGTCTCCCGAGTAGCTGGGACTGCACACAGATGTGTGCAAGGTGTCTGGCTTACTTTATAACTTTTTAAATCATTGAGATACTGTGTAAGGGAAAAAACGAGCAACTAAGTTGGTTAAGTATTCCTAAACTTCATGCTGAGTTTGATTCTTCTAAATCACTTTCTCCTTCAGAGCCTCGATTTCCTGCCAGGAAGGGTGAGTGTGAGACAGTTTCTTAAGAGGATGATCCAGTATCATTTCTGAGATTTGCTGTTAGGCCATGGACACCCATCCTGACACAGTGGACATGCTCCCTGAACACTAGCTCGTGTCTGCACTCTGACTGACTCAGACTGTGAGAAGAATCTCAGTCTGAAACAATACATATCTTGGAACTGATAGTCACAAAAATGATGATTATAGGCACCATCATGAAAATCAAAGGCCGTGACGTGAGTGTGTGTGATGCCTGGGACACGTCAGCGTTCCCTTTGGTCTGTAACAGAAAATACCACCCCCGCCGCCAGCCAGTGTACTTTAGTTTCTTAGCTGCCCAGGTAATAGTTCCTGTTCCAGTTCCGGTTGCTCCTGTCTCTTAGAAACGGCTGGTCGCTGTGATGCACATTGTAAGATCCAATCCCCAACTGACAAGCCATTCTGCTCTGTACTTCCTGCTTATCCCATATAAGCCCTAGACCACGAGAGATCAGGGCCTGATGTTTTGAGAATGATCAAACAACAAAGCAACTCAAAAAGAACATGAGTCAGAGTACTTTATGGTTGTGATTGGCCTTCACAAATCAATACAGAGTGTCTGAATCCATCCTGGCTGCCATAACAAAATATATGAGATTGTACAATTTTTAAATCATAGAGATTGTTTCTCATAGTTGTGGACGCTGAGAAGTCTAAAATTGAGGTGCCAATATAGTTAGTGTCTGGAAAGGGCTGCTGTCTGCTTCCGGGTGGCTCCCTGTGGCTTTGTCTTCACAGGATAGCGGGACAAAGTGTCAAACAGACCCCCTGAAGCCTTTCTATGAGGGCACTAACCCTGATCACGAGGGTGGAGCCCTCATGACCTCCTGACATCATGCCCTGGGTATTAAGTTTCAGTATGAGTTTTAGAGGAACACAAACATTCAAGCCATAGCAGAGATCAAGTCCTGTGGTCACAGGCTGGAAGGTCAGTCTTACCTTCACCTACTCTGTCCTGTTCTAATACTTTGCCAGTGGAATGTGGGCACATGACTCATTCACCTTTCAGCTCTTTGGAGGGAGGGCTGAGCATTTGTGAAGTCCAATAAAGTGTAATTACAGATCACGATACGTTTCCTTTGCACACAGTACTGTGTCCAGTGATAATATTATTCTTTGGGGTGAGGCATATAATGTTTGTGTAGTTTTGGTGCTGCTTCCTGTTGTAAGCTGTTGCCAGATCAGTTAGAGGGAATGTGGAATGCCCCACAGCCCTGGTCTGCAAACATTCTTGGTAGCAAATGCATATAAAAAAGTTCAAGCATGGACCTGTTACATTCATTTATAATTCCATTTGTACATTGTAAAACATATGACAAATATAAATTCTTAAAATTTGAGATAAAAATAAATGTAAATGGCAGTCTTGTGTTTTCTCCATATGGAAAGGATTATCTTGTACACATCTGAATTTTTCCTCCTGTTTTCCTATGTGTTCCTGCACATATATATTTGTACTGGCAACCCAGACTTCATTTAAGTATTCTTCAACTCTTGGACATTTAGTTTGTTTCAGTTGTTCCTTATTTTAGGTAATACTGTCAGGAACCACTTTGTATATAAACCTTAGTCTGAATTCCTATTTCCTTTGGGTTTATTCTTAGAGGTGGATTGTTGGGTCAAAGATTGTTTTATTCAAGAGGCGGGTTCTTTCCTTCTCCATTTTTGGCAAATATTTTCCCATTGGCTTTGCCTTTTAACATCTTTTTTTCTGGAAAAATGAGAAGAGAGATTATGAGGAGAAACTCCTTTATAAACAGAGTGTTGTTTTAGGCACTCGGGTGAAGGAGCCTCTGGCACAATTTCTCTGCCTGGTTGGGATGAGAACCCTGGTCCTGTCCACTTGCCTCCCTCTTAACATGATTGTCCATCCCTATCGAGCTGCAAATAAGACCTCATGGACTCATCCAAATGCAGCCACTAAGAATAGAATTCAAGAGAAGTGATTAGGGGATGAAGAAGGAATTCCACATTTCTTTTATATTTTTGGAGAGTTTGCATGAGGAAAGGGAAATATCCCAAGTAGCCATTGTGTGAGACCAGTTACTTGTTTTTTTCTCTGTTTTGACTTAAATAAACTAAACTCTTAACTTTATCCTACTAGTGTTTATCCTCAGTTTCAGGAAAGTGGAGTACTGAATTCACCTTTTAAAAAATTAGTTGTTTTTTAAATGACACACACCATTTCATTTATTTATTTAGAGACAGGCTCTTGCTATGTAGTGTAGGCTGGTTTTAAAATCATTTATGTAGCCCAAGCTGGCCTCAAACTCATGGTGATCCTCCTGTCTCAGCCTCCTGAGAGCTGGGATTACAGGTGTGTGCCACTGTGCCTGGCCACCTACAGCATTTTAAATCAGTTGGGAAGATTAAAACTATACTCCATACAAACAATTCTAGTTTTATATGTTTTATAATATACATATTAAAACTTTTATTTCCAAGGTTATCTTTCTTATCAGGTGGTTGTTTCCTTGCAGGCAAGATCTGTGTTGTCATCATTTTTCCAATTCCAGTTCATACACTCTAATATCTAATACATGTTTGCTGGAGAGATTAATAAAAGTTAATCGAATGAACAGTGGACAGAGACAATGAAAAGAGACAGCAAAACAGCAAAGAGTGCATGGCTTGCTTGACTTGCTTCCTAGCTTTGCCGCTTTTCAGCTGAGGTTTAGTTTTATCTGCGAAATGAGGATAATGATAACTCTGACCTTATAGACAGTATAAATTGAGTGGGCCAAAGAATAGAGTCATGGCAGTATAAGTTGATGCATAGGTGTTCAATAATGCTATCATTATCAAGAGTAAGGCACAAAAGTTATAGAGAAAGCATGCTGCTTATTAAAATAATTTAACTGCACAACAAGGGACAATTACTAACTTTCCTTTTCTTTGGCTAGAATGGAGAAACACCATTCTTTTTGGCGGTTGCAGGAGGTCATGAAGAATGCAGCAAAGTGCTACTGGCAGCAGGAAGTGACATCAACATCATAAATAAAGTACGTGCTCTGGGCCATGCTCACGCATGCAGGAAGGGGACGTGGAATATCTTTAGGAACTCTGTCTGGTGTTGCTCATTCACTGGGATTTTGTAGAATCCATATTTATAACATGCTTTTAGTTCATAATTAATGATTTGCTTCTGATAGTCTCCTATTACTCTCTCCTCAAAAGCAATATCATTCTTCTTATTTATGTGGGAAAGGAATATTTGGGGCAAAGGGAACAAGTTATTGCCACTTTTTAAAGACAGACAGTCTTACTCTACTTTGTTTTCTCCATAGCAAATAGCACATGCCTGCTCATACCTATTAGGTACTGAAAAGAAAGTTCTTTGTATGAAACTCTGGTGTCCAGCGTGGGGTCTGAAAAGGGCATTGTGGCACTTGTTTCTAAGTACAGAGTACTTTTACATTTAGTCATGGTGCTAAGAGGCTCCAAACACTCAAGACCATACCATCATCCTCATTTTTTTTTTTTTTTTTTTTTTTTTTTTTTTTTTTTT